GAGACAGAGAAGGAACAACTCTGGGAGGACAACAGTGAGACAGAGGAGGAACAACTCGAGGAGGACAACAATGAGACAGAGAAGAAACAACTCGGGGAGGACAACAATGAGACAGGGGAGGAACAACTCGGGGAGCACAACAATGAGACAGAGAAGGAACAACTCGGGGAGCACAACAATGAGACAGAGAAGGAGCAACTCGAGGAGGACAACAATGAGACAGAGAAGGAACACCTGGTGGAGGACAACAATGAGACAGAGAAGGAACAACTCGGGGAGGACAACAATGAGACAGAGATGCAACAGACTGACAATTGATCCTACACAAAGATTCTTCTTCCTGCCATTAACATAAAACTGGTACACTGGTATTCTTTGTTTAGAGCTATTTAGTTTTTTCAAAAAGTAAGTAGTACGTTTTTGGATGCTTTGTAAACATTGCGGAATTGATAGCGAGAGATGAAGAAACCTGAAATTCATTATTATTAATTATATCAATAGCGAACTAAAATATTTTGGATTGGGAAGCTTGAACGCAAGAAATGAGCTAAATATTTCAAAATGTGAGAGGCAAAAATCAAATTTAATCTTTGATTTCAACCACCATGATCTGGTTTTCAGTTCTTCTCTAGCATGCGGACGTGATCATCAAACAGTAATAGACTCAGGCGACAAAAAAACACGTTTTAACTTTGAAAAGATACAAAGAAATACCTGCCAACCTTTCTTATCTCGATAAATCTCGGCCTAAATCGACGAGGCTCTCGCGAAGGCCATAAACCATTACTGTAATATTCCTAGAAGCCACGAAGTTCAATAACTCGAACAACACACCCTTCGAACTTTCGCTCTTTTTCACATACATGCACATTCTCTCGGTCATCTGATTATAGTCCCGGATGTCCACAGGACACTTACCAGATGAGTCTAAAATTTCCAGAAACGTCTCTCTTTGTGCACTGTACCCTATTTACGTGACTTCGTTGGCAAGAAACAATATTTAAACGCTGTGACTGGTGCGAGATATCCAAACGCTGTGATATGGCTGGTGCATGATACATACCCTAATGCGGTAATCTGATTGGTGCATGATACACACCCTATTGTGGCGATCTGACTGGTGAGCAAAATACCACTCTATACCTAAAAATTAACCCAAAAAGGAGACTGTTCAGATTTCGAATTCCAATGTTGCATAAACTGGGAATTTAAAAGAACTGGTCAGAAGGCATGGCTATATGCTCGGTTTGCTTGTGAAAAGTTTCTGAGTGTCCTTCTTATCACTAGGATTATGTGAAGGTGTAGTCTGATCGTCCGGGTGAGTGTAGTCCTGAGAAGGACTGTTGTCGGTGGTAGTGACTGACGTTTCGACAACCTGTGCGGAAGTCATCATCAGAGTCAAGTGAATGATTGTTGTCAGTAGAATGTTCTTATTCCAGTTCCTGTGAAATGATCGGTTGGTTTTGCCGTGATGTTATTGGCTGTAAGACTCAAGTGACGTAAGTCATCCACTTGAGAAAGAGAAGAAAGAGTTATCTCGAGCCTCGAGACAAATATTTCATCCCTTTCTCAATTGGACGCTAAAGCTTGAAAGTTAACCTTTTTCTCACTCTTTACTATACACAGGGAACTTGTGACGTACATGATCCTAGTGCAGTAAATGGTTTGAACCCGGGGGTAACATGTGAAGGTGTAGCTGTAAGACTCAAGTGACGTAAGTCGGTCGTGATTGGTCTGTTTCGATCTGTCGGTAAAGTTAGCTCGTTCTTTTTCGGTCGTTTGTGACGTTTATGTCGTGAATGAGTCGTTTGTATGGACCGAAAAAGAACGACCTAACTTTACCGACAGATCGAAACAGACCAATCACGACCGACTTACGTCACTTGAGTCTTACAGCTACACCTTCACATGTTACCCCCGGGTTCAAACCATTTACTGCACTAGGATCATGTACGTCACAAGTTCCCTGTGTATAGTAAAGAGTGAGAAAAAGGTTAACTTTCAAGCTTTAGCGTCCAATTGAGAAAGGGATGAAATATTTGTCTCGAGGCTCGAGATAACTCTTTCTTCTCTTTCTCAAGTGGATGCTCAAGATTGAAACTTAACCTATCTCTCCCTCTTGAATCAAATCAAATGTACTGTTGTTTAACAGAGTCGTTCTCTTTGCATGGGTGAGATGGGACATATTTTGACAGGGAGGGTTGAAATTTTTTTAGGCAGAGAACCCCTCATCAAAATTTAGAAAATCAATTCACAGTTCAATAATTATCTCATAAAAGCCTCAAAGTACCGTTACTTTATAATCAAATTTTTAATGGTTATCAAATTCAATTGTAATCGAGTCAATCAAATTTGCTCAGTGACCCTCTTTACTTGACAAGGAATAAATTAACAATCATCGTTTAGGCAGACATTACCTGCTCACACATGAATTTATTCTAAAGGGCATGCAGGGATTTTTCTCACTTTTTGGGAAACCAGATTCTGCTAAGTAAGAATTTAGTAAGGCAACCTTTGTTTGATGTCTGTATCTGTCTATCTTATTGAGGATTTTTATCAGGAGGTCTTCTTTGAAAAATATTTTAACTTAATAACATGATAATATTAAATAGTAAACTTGGAAGAAGAAAAATGATGAATTTATGTGAATAGTTGTTGGCATAAACCACTGAAATAGCAACCTGATCACCTCTGATCTGATTTGAGGTCAAATATACAAGTATTTATTCTCTGCCCCAGGATCTAGTGCCTATTACTCATGTCAGAGTAGGTCTGTATTAGAGAGATTAATTCAAACCTACTCAAGACTAACCAACAAGGAATTCCTCCTAACAACACTGTACATTTTCAACCAGAAAAATAATGAGAAGGGAAAAATCAACAAGAGGAAATTGCTTGATTTAACATCAAATTCTCAGAACTAGAATCATCAGAAACATGTGGTGAACAGTATAAAGACTAAATATTTAGATCTTGGGAGTGAAAGGGTCAGCAGAAATTGTTGAGATATTGGTAAATTGAGAATCATTATAAGATATGATATGAATCTTTAAAAGTACTCTGGAAACTGTGCTTTGTTTTCACTTCCTAATCACAAATATTGCAATGAATAAATTATCAATAAAATCATCATCATTACTTTACCGCTCCTTTGCTATAACAGGTTTCTGTTAGAGCATTTTATAATATAAGTGAACAAAGTACTCATTGTCTACTTGGTCAATTACCATAAGTTTCCAAGCGGAAGCTTTATCAGGTTGTAGAGCCCTCATGTATCTAGGTATGTCATAATTATCCATTTTTCCAGACTCAATAACATTATAAAGGTACTCGGGATGTTGGGAAAACCTGAGGAAAGATTAGAAATCACAAACCAAGGTGAATGCTCTCCCAACATCCAGCATGGCATTATCAAGTTATACAGCCCAGAAAACTGTGTTCTACTGCTTAATTGTAGTTAAATTTTTCACCTCTCTAATACAGAGTTCACCTCTTTAATACGAACACAAAGGGGACAGAAGAGAGTTTTCATAGAAGTAACATGTCTGTTCAAACCCTTTACACTCAAAAGTGACTGGCATCTAATTTCTCCTTACTGTTATACAGCTTTATAATTCATCACAATCAAGATAATAGAGGATATGATTGCCAACTTAAGAAGCTTTGATCATTAAATGAATTCTCCTTGGCAGTACCAGAGGAAATGTATAGGGAGGGGTATTACGAATATGAATACTGATATTAGGGTGTAAAGGGTTAAAGAAGTCAGTTCACTGACATAATTTTAAGACTCGACTGGTATCTAGTGGAGATAATGACAAAGAAAACCTAAATTAATCACTATTTATAACATATATAACCAAAGTAAAGCATACACTCTGATTGGTTAATTCAGTGTCCACCACTTGCTCATGGGTGTACATTTCTAATGTGAGCAAATACAAAGACTAGTTTTCTGCACGTGCTTGTTTTTTCTGGTCACGTAAGATTTGTTAAATACAAGAAAACTCTTTTGGGGTGATGTATCATTATGTGACGTTATAAAAGAAATGGTAAACACCACAATGTACATTATTGAGTTATGGATCACTTGGGAGGTTTGCTAAGCACTCAAAAAGCTAGAGTCACTCTTGGCTATTGCCTCGCGCAACTCTTGCACTTCTTTTGTGCTTAGCAACCTTCCATGTGCATCCACAACTCAATAGTGTACGCTGTGGTATTTACCATTATTTTGTTAATTAGTATCAAGATATTGCCTTAAAAAAATAAGGAAAATCAAATAGAACTCCAAAGACCATATTGTCACAAGAGGAAAAAAATATCTTCAGATGTTTCAAGTCAACAGCTAAGAAGAAGAATGATGAATCTATGTTAAAAGTTCATCACTATAGACCAAATTAGCACGATAATCATCATACCCTCCATGATAAAGAGGTCAAATTTAAACATATTTGAGATAGAATAAATATATGAAAATCATATATTGAACTGCGGTATTTGATACGTATGATGCACGATCCTCGCAGTAGATAGCGCTATTTAAGCAATAGCGAAATTCAGACCTGAAAAAAATCAGGCCTGTACGGGACTCGAACCACTGACCTCTGCGATACTAGTGCAGCGCTCTAACCAATTGAGCTAACAAGCCAACTGAGAGCAGGCCGTTAAGTTGATTCGTAATGAACCCGTGAAAGTGATAAATGAGATAGAATAAATATATGAAAATCATATATTTTGAACTGCGGTATTTGATACGTATGATGCACGATCCTCGCAGTAGATAGCGCTATTTAAGCAATAGCGAAATTCAGACCTGAAAAAAATCAGGCCTGTACGGGACTCGAACCACTGACCTCTGCGATACTAGTGCAGCGCTGCACTAGTATCGCAGAGGTCAGTGGTTCAAGTCCCGTACAGGCCTGATTTTTTTCAGGTCTGAATTTCGCTATTGCTTAAATAGCGCTATCTACTGCGAGGATCGTGCATCATACGTATTAAACATATTTGTTTGCTGGGTTAAGATTTCAGGTCCACTGTTCATGTAAGAGAGAGTCTGTTTTAGAAAGATTTTTCAAAAAAAAATACCCAGGTATATTTAAGAATTCCCTTATGGTATAGAGAACTTTTAGTAACAGAGGTATCCAAATCAGAGAGGTGTTTGTAGAGATAGGTTTGCCTACCCTAGATTTTTTCAAAGTGCAAAATGCTATTTTTATCCTAAAAAATACCTGTAAAATTCCAAAGCCTAGTTCACATATGACACAAATGCAAGTGCATGACCACACATCAAACACAAGTGCAAGGAAGGTAAGATACCAAGCTGTAGCAGAAGTGTTTTAGCAGACAAGGTTGTAGCCTTGGCTGCAAAAAGTTTACTTTTCCTGCTTTTTGCACACAGACTGTTTAAGAGAAGTGCAAAACACAGTCATGTCTAGAAGAGCTGGGAGCATGTGGGTTAGGTCAAGATTTTCTTCCATAGTCCCAATTCTTTCGCAAATTCAGTCAATGCAAGACCTCTTTCGAGTTTGTCTTTGAAATTGGTGCAACATTTGACATACAGTACAGGATACTTTGAACCTGACCGCTCTCTCTGTCAACTTCTTGTCTGAAATGAAAGCCGTCATCTTGCTTTTAAGGTAACTAGCTGTGATGGCATGGAACCTGTGTCTTCTTTTACCTTGCATTTTCATGTCCCAGTTTACACAAGTACAATGCATAAGCAAGTGCAAATGCATTAACAAGAGAATGAAATTTTTTCCACTTCCTGCATCCAGGCTTGTGCTTGTGAAAGCATTTGCATTACTATAGCTCACACATGTATTTTCTCACCTTTACATCCTAATCTGCTCTTGAATCTGTGTCATACATGTGAAACAGGCTCTGGGTCCTATAGGTGATTTTTCGGTCCGTTAGATGATGTTCCTTCCCCCCCCAATATAAATTGCCTCCAACAAAGTAACGGGGGAGGGAATCCGTCTTAGTGGAGGTTACATTTACAACCTTCTCAGGAAAGTAAGGATTTTTTCATGGAATTCTTCCGGATTTGCAAAATAGCAAGCGTGTCCCGCGCTTTTCATCATGTGAACGACACTATTTGGAATGTTTCTGAGTCTTCGCAAGGACGAAACTCCGAGAGCTGAGTCGTTTTCGCCATAAATAACAAGAGTGGGTAGTTGAAGTTCCTTATAGTCCGATTCTTCAAATTTATCGGTGCCAACTGGGGCGACAGGAACATATCCTCGCAAATGCTTCCCTTGATCACCTTCGAAAATAAACGGTAGTGCATATGATCCGCTCATTGAGGGTGAAACCAGAACAGGTCGATCAATTTTCAGTTTCTCCATAAACTTTTTTAGGAACGCACTTCGTTCTTCAGAGGTTCTTGGTTGTTCGGCATCTTTAGATTTCACATAACCAGGCAAATCAACAGCCACTACTCTGTAATCATGCGCGGCTAGGAACTTTAAAGTGCCAAGATCATCCCACGTTTGCGAAGAAAACTTCTGTCCGTGTAGAAACAACACAGTGAAACGTCCGCCGTTCGCGGGAACATCTTCGCGATAAAATATTCCATTGTCTTTTCCTTCCCATTCGAGGTACCCACGATGCTCCATTGCGCTCGGCGTTGATAAATAGTACACTAAAACTACCGCAAAGGCCAAAAAAATTCCAATAATTACTCTCCAATTGATTCTGAAGGAAGAAAGTCTTCCCCGACTCATGTGGTCCGTTGGTTTTGTAGCTAACGGGACGAGAAGTGCACTAGACATCCCGAAGGCATTCGAGTGTGACGCTCGACATTTACTGCTTTTGAGACCTTTTGACAATACTCACCCCCGTACAGTTCTATCTACTCCCCCCCGTTCTTCTATCTGTTCCATCTCACAAATGTTCGTTTATGCCAATTTCTTGCGTTTGATGCAGTTTGAATTAATTGTGCTCAACTTGTTTGGAGAAACAGAACACCTGCTCTATTTTAATTCATATGCTTTTTGATTTCACTCTTGTTGTCATGATTCAAGATTCGACTTAAAAAGGTAATAAAATAAGAATATTTATTAAGACAATGTTTACCACATTCAAATGTATTCAGCTGTTTTAAAAGAAGATGTTAGTTTTTCTTCTTGTTATGATAGATCGG